CCCCACCCCCTCTCCCAGCTTCTGGCTCTTAAAAAAAAAAAAAAAAGCCCACACTCACTGGCTGCTGCTGGGCTGGGGGGGATGGTCCCCACTGCCCCATGTCATGTGGGGGGCTCTGCCACGAGCCCCTCAACCCCTGCCCACTCTCCCAGCCCCACCCCCCATGGCTGCCCTGCCTGCCCCAGCTCCTGGCCCTTTAAAAAAAAAGCCAAAGAAAAAGCCCCAACTCACTGACTCCCACCAGGCAGGGGGGCAGCCCCCCTACTGTCCCATGCTGCATGGGGGAACTCTGCCACAAGCCCCCAGAAGCCCTGAGGCTGCTGCGGCAGCCGGGGCTTTTTTTTTTTAAAGGGCCAGGAGCTGGGGTGGGCTGGGCAACCATAGGGGAGGCTGAGAAAGTGGGAGGGGTTCAGAGAGGTCATGGCAGAGCCCCCCCACATGGCATGGGGCAGTGGGGGCCATGGGGATTGCTTCCCCTACCTGGCAGCAGCCAGTGAGTGGAGCTTTTTTTAGTAAGATCCAGGAGCTGGAGCGTGGGACAGCCATGGGCGGGGGCTGGGACAGTGGACAGGGAGCATTCTGGGGGACTGGGGGAGCAGGCAAGGGATGGGGCCTGGTAGGGGTCCCCCCATGGCCCCTCCCATCTCCTCCTGCTCCCCCTCCCCTGCTCCCTTTTTACCAGCATGGAGTCTGGGTCCAGCTCCATGCCACAGCGAGCCTGAATCGCTGATGCTTTCCAAATCTTTTCTGAATTGATTCGACCACTGAATCAGGCTGAATCTCCTCCAAATCGAATCAGCCCCTGAAGCTTGGCACAGCCCTATATAATACCAACTCACACCTTGCAAAACTTAAGTTAGGGTCAGATCCTCAGCTGATGTAAATTGTGATTTTGTTCAGCAAGGGTATGTTGAGTTGCACTAATTGAGGATCTGGCTCTGAAACCTTTATGCAACTTTTTGGTTTTGTACATCATTGTATTTTTTTTTCATGCAGCTTTTGGTTTCTTGGTCTGGCAGGGACTGGACATGTCAAAAGAGTAAAAAAAGAGGCCAGGTTTGGTCCTAGCACAAAGATGGAAGAGAGTCATCAAAGCAGCTAAACAAGCCTCTGACTAGAGACTTATTCTTTTTCTATTTAATTTTATCTCTAAAGTGCTATGCCTTGCTGAAATGTGCCTCATGTATTTAAAGAAACATCTTTTGCCTGGCAGTTTTGTACCTGTTATTGTTAGAAGTAACACGTAATCCTCTTCATTGGAAAAGACTAGGAAACAATATCTTTCTCAGCCATTTTAGGTTGTGTGTTTGACAGCACGTTATGTCTAGTCTATTTCACTGTTTCCCGTTTAGTCAGTTTCCCCTGTTTGTGTGGGTCTTTCTCACAGCAACAAGGAAGAGTAAACATTTAAAAAAATAGGAAAATATGATTGTAAAACCGTGAAATCTTGGGAAGGGTGCTTGTGTTCCAGGACAGATCTGAAACTGTATTTAACTTTTTGATGGATTATTTTTGACATTTTTATTATTTTTAATGTATTTGATGTTGCAGTAATGCCTAAGAGCCCTACGCATGAATTGTGATGCCACTGGCATAGATATAGAACAGAAGCTGATTTTGACCCTTGTTGATTTTGTTAGTCAGTGTCTGTTGTAAACAGCCTTAAGTATAAAATAGGATCTGTCAAAAATGTTGTGTGTCTTGACTTTACCCTTAATGTCAGTGTGTGATGACAAAAGTCCAGTGAGAACAGTCATTATCATACTGCTTTAAAAAGCAATCTTTACCGCATCTCTCATAGGAGGGATATTTCATAATGCTATGTGCTAACTGACTTTTGACAGTGTTGGCACTGGGAAATTCCCACTCTGAGTAGCACAAGGTTAAAAGAAAACCCCTCCCAGCTTTGCTTTTAGTACGTGTGCAATTTTTGACCAAGTTTTAAATTAAAGCACAAGAGTCTGCTCGCTTATTTCCTATGAATCATCCTATTAACTTGCCCAGTGTTCCTTTGCTCTTATGACAGGCTCTTAATGACAGTTTCTAAACTTGAATTGTGTAAGATTGGAAGCCATAGAAGGGCAGGGTTTTTGGAGTTCGGAGTAGGTTATTCTTAAAAGACAGGCAGTAGTGCAGTTTCAGAATATTGCAGTCAATTGTGGGGCAGTATCATTAGTTTTCATATTTTAAATGATACATATGCATCCAGAGGTGTTCATGTTAGGTACATAATAAATGTAAGCAAAAATAAAAACATAAATGTTTGTATTTGGAAATGTTTCTGAATCCAAGCTGCAGATCTCATCTCTCCTTTTTGGCTTTGGAAGTTCAGCCCTGGACATGATCTTTGTGTCTGAGGTTTACTTCTCTTTCTGTTAAACTCTTATACAGCAAATGTGTACAACCTTATCTGGCAATGTGTCTACATGTTTTTATATTGTCAGTGTACATGTACTAATAATGATGGATTGCTTCTCTGCCAACACACATGCCTTCCTTTTGAAATTCTCTCCTTATAATGCAGGTGTTAAAGATACTGAATGCATGATTTGCCCAGCCTTCACACTGGACAAATCTAATTCTGTCTCCCCTATCTCTACAATGTGGTGAGGTTTTTCAGTTTATCAAAACCCTTTTTCCTTATTTCTTTTAGCGAGGCAGTCTGGGAGAATATGGCCCGCATGTGTGTGAAGACACAAAGGCTGGATGTTGCCAAAGTTTGCCTTGGAAACATGGGTCATGCCAGAGGAGCCAAGGCATTAAGAGAGGCAGAACGAGAACCAGAGCAAGAAGCCAGGGTGGCAATGTTGGCAATTCAGCTGGGCATGCTGGTAGGACTCTCAGTAGCAACTTGCCCATTTTCTAGTAATAAGCAATTGGCATACAAAGCTGTCTGATAAGTATGTACCCTTCAGGCAAGGCAGTTAAACTAAAGAGTTCCAGGCACCACTATTATTTTTTTAAAGTTTGGGAAGGATTCAGAGAATTTGGAAAAGGTGAATGCAAAGCCTATTCACAAAGAGGCAAAGAAAAATGAACCTGACAATTATTTTTGTGCAATTCGAATTTCTGCCCTACTGAAACTGGATTTTGTGTCTTTCCTAGCAGCACCATGTTGATGTCTCATCAACCTCTATCATGGCTAATATCACCTGAACTATCTTCTCCTGATGAGACCCTAATTTATATCATAAATGCTAATTAGCCTCTAAATGCATTATCTAACAATTTGCACTATTAACTGATACGTAAGGGTGACTAAATGTGAGCAAATGTGGCAGCATCAAATCCCTAGAGATCTCTGAACATAGCACAATCATGAGCCATAAACAGCATAGGCTTGTAGCCAATGAATTTTCCCAGGCAAACTCAATTGCTTTTTAAAATATATAGCATTAAAATATTGGTCGAATGAAGTATTGTAGCAGTATCATATGCTTGGACTGCTGAGAAATGATAGATGTGCTGTCTCATAAACCTTTCTGTGAAAGCCTGATTCTGCCACCCTTGTTTACCCATGGCTTGTCTAGATAAGGGTTTTCTTAAGATGGGCTTGCTAAAGCATCTGAGTACATTAAAAACCTTTGTGGAGAAAAGACAAGTAGTATTTTAACGTGTGTCAGCTGGCAGAGGAGAAGCCTCTTGGACAGCCTGGGGTTTACCCTCTAACAATCAATAAATGTTCATGTGTAGCTTGTCCTTCCTACACACCTTGTATCAGAGCCTACACATTCTTTGACTAACACTTTACTGAACCAGTAAAACTAGGATCTTAACTGGATTCCAGATTAACACTGTCATGTGGCTAGAAAAGTGTAACATAATAGTAATGATAAACTGCTCTGTACTGGTATTAGGTTAGCCTTCTTAAATATTTTTGTTAATGGTCTATAAGAGGGACTGAACAGCATGATGCTGATTTCACTGGTGACAGCATAGTGCAAGATACGTCAAACTGCAGTGAGGTTACATATGGTCCTAAAGTGTTAAAAAATTTGGCAGAAAATTAAAACAAAACCTCTGGAAAAATGAAAGATAACACATCTAAGAAAAAATATTCAATGGGAAAAAGAAATTTGGAAAGCAACACTGCTGAAAGAGCCCAAGATTCATAGGAGACCACCGATTAGACATAAGTTTGCAACATAATAAAAACAGCCAAGACAATTTTGGGCTGTATTCTCAGAGGCACCACATCCTGGAGCTTTGACTTGATATCTAACTAGGCATCTCTGTTCCAGTTGCACCTGGAATATTGCCTTCAATGCTAAGGATCTAATTACCAGAAAAATCTTGATCAACTTGAAGAAGTCCAGAATAAACAACTCAGATTATTAGGTTCCTAGAGGGATTCATAAATAGGGCAGTATTTAAAAGAGCTGAATATTTAGAGTTTGGCTGGAAGAGGAAGGTGCTGGCAGTTACAAATACTGGAAAACTATAAATGTCATGAAAATGGAGGAATTGTTCTGCATGCTGGAAGGAGGGCACCGCTAGAAATAACAGGATAAAATGAAGGAAAAGGAAATTGAGGCTGAATATTTGGAAAAGCTTCCTGACAGGGAGATTCATTAGGCTGAAGAGAAGTGACTGAAAACTTCTGTGCTTGGATAATTAAAGCTGATCTGGGGAAAAGCAGAAGCAAAAGTGGAGTGGAAAACAAACCTACACTGGTGAGGAGAGGGAGTGTAGGAGACAGAACCTATACAAAAAGATGTAAATCAAAAGGAGTCGGAAACTACATTTTCTGTCTTGCTAGTTGCTAAAGATAGCAGTCAGCAGGACAGCAGTTGGGTGGGGCAGGAAAATGCTTCTTAGACAGGAGTCCTGTTCAAAGATTAAAAATAGTCCAGTTCCAAATTTGCTCATTTCTTGCGTCAGGAGGAGGAGAATTCTAAGGTTTTAATTCTAATTGAAGTCCATGGCTACACTGCCTTAGTCATGGCTTCAGGGGTTTGTTCCACATTCATAATCCAAGAACCCAGTTCCTATATCTTGGAGCTGCTCTGAGGGGACAATGTCTTCAAAGGCTTATTTTTTTCTTGCTGAGAAAACTGCCACAAAGTTAGCGAGGCCCTCTCTAGCTCCTCATCTGGGGGACTCAGTCTCTCTGAGCTTAGGTCAGAATGACCATGAAAACTAATAGCTTCAATATGAGCGTGTTGCTGCCTCTATTGTGAATGGGCTCAGCATTTTGAAAACAATTGGTGTTTAATTTACTGGTAGCTGCTCATGTCACCCCAGTTAATATTGTCCAGTAAATGCCAGGATCTGAGTGCTTTCCTTATTTTCATGCAAACATCCTGTTTCCCAGTCACAATGCTACTATTCCAGGCTACATATATTTAGTTGCTTAAAATTCCTCCTGCCCTAATTCGTGTTATTTGCAATGCATCCAATGGTCTGTTGTAATTACAGCTTAGAAGTTGATGCTTAGCTATACACCTTGCAAAGTGCTCTTCCAACTCAGACTTCTCAGTTTTGCTCTCTTTTCAGGAAGATGCAGAGCGACTGTACAAGATCTGCAAACGCTATGACCTCCTGAACAAGTTCTACCAGGCTTCTGACCAGTGGCAGAAAGCCATAGAAGTCGCTGAGACACATGATCGGGTTCATCTGCGCACCATGTACTACAACTATGCCAAACATCTGGAGGCCACTGGGGAACACAGTCTTGCACTCACCTAGTAAGCAGCAACCAAGAGCTCAGGCTGCACACTTGGAGTATGGTTCTGTACATAAGGAATTTGGAGCTTTAGCACAGTTCTTTGGAGGGCAAGTCAGAGTTGGCTGGGGGAGGGGTTCCAGAAGGCACCTGCAAGTAGTAGATAATCTGTCCTCTTTTCTGTTACCTTCCATTTTAGGATCTCCTACCATTATTAAAATAAACCCTATAACTCCCCTGTCAGTTAAGGAACTGAGAGATTCTGAAAGGATAAGTAACTTGCCCAAGGAAAGCCTGTAGTGAAGCCATGAATAGAATTTGGATTTCCTGTCCCCCACCCCAAGTCCTGTGCTTTTAATCACAAGAGCTGCCTTCCTTTTTCCTCCTTGTTCCATGAATAAGCACTCATGTTGGAGTGCAGACCCATCTGGCACCCCAGAGGTTGATGTTGGCTGATGTGTTTAGAACTCTTATCCTATGACAGCTGAGGTCTTGGAAAAGTGCTGGGGGTGGCACTTTTATAAAAAAAATGCATTATATGAGTATTAAATGTTATTAATTACATGGTAGCTTTGCTTTGTGAAGTCGCAGATGCTTATGCTCCAGAGCTCTTCGTGTGATGAGCTGTAGACAGGGCATATAATTCATCTGCTAGGAGAAGGAAAGAAGAGATTTGCGGAAGTGGAATCAGTACAGATAGAAGAGCGTGCTCCCAGCTCTGGAGAAGGGCAGAGATTGCAGTCAAGTTGAGCTGGTTAAGAAAACAAGCAAGATGAGGAGTCAAGATGTTTATCAAATATACTTTGCTCTGACCTCTGTTCAGATAAGGTGTGGCTGGGATTGATATCTGGGATCTACCCCTTTAATGCCCCTTGACAGCATTTCATAGCCGTTTGGGTATGCTCTGCTTGCCTTTTCTTCCAAAACCAAGCTATCTGATTTTCTGTATCCATTTTTGCCCTAGTAGTGCCAGCACTGTGGCCTTTCCTTGGTATATTGATTCTGTGGCGCTGGCGTGGTTCTTGCAGTTGATGAAGAGTGCTTTATAAAAATGAAGTATTATTCCTGTCATCACTCGTGCATGCTAACAAAATAAAACTGATGAGCAAAGTGATCAGGCAGTTTTCCTGAAGCACTGACCTTCACCACCTAACATGTCCTTTTCCTGCACAGCTATGAGAAATCAGACACGCATAGGTTTGAAGTGCCCAGAATGCTCTCTGAAGATTTACAAGCCTTGGAGATCTATGTCAACAAGATGAAAGATAAGTTAGTGCTATATTATTTCCCTTTCTTCCCCAACATGTCTGAATGAGTGGCCTGCTGGGGTGGGAATTTCAGATCTGATGTGTAGTTTAACACTTTCCTGCAAGCTCTTGGGATTTTCCAGGCTGACTTAATAGACTCCAAGACTGGCAAGTGTATAAGTGCTCTAATGCCAGGCATAGTACTGGAAGTTTGTTCATTTGGCTGATTTCATCATGGATCTTGTTTGTAAGCAATGGTGGCATGGTATTGTGTTGTACAGTTAATGCTGCTGGTATCATTACTGAGAGAAGTGAGCAACAGAAAACATTACTGTATAGACTGTAGTTTAATAGATTTTGAGGCCAGACAGGATCATAGGGTTATTGTATCACCTAATCTGATATCCTATATACTGAAGGCTCTTAAATTTCACCTGTGCGCTGAGTTTAGTGACTGGTGTTTGACAGAAGGACATCTGACAGACATTGAGTCTTAATTTAAAGATATCAAAAGGAGGAAAACCATCTAGCACTTCTTTTGATAGTTCCTTCTAGTGGTTAAATACCATCAGCCTAATTAATTTGCTTCATTTCTAGGGCCCTGTGGAAATGGTGGGCACAGTACTTGGAGAGCCAGTCAGAAATGGAATCTGCACTAAAATACTATGAGTTGGCCCAGGACTATTTTTCCTTAGTCCGTGTGCACTGCTTTCAGGGCAACATCCAGAAGGTAAACCAGCCTGCCTCCCACTGCTCACAGGACAGTCAGCATTCCTACACATGCCAAGTTGAAACCAGGCATGAAGTGAGTGGTTTTAATTTTTCTTTTCAGGCAGCTGAAATAGCGAATGAAACAGGAAATTGGGCAGCATCGTATCACCTGGCCCGCCAGTATGAGAGCCAGGAGGAAATCAAACAGGCTGTGCACTTCTACACCAGGGCTCAGGCCTTCAACAATGCCATCCGCCTGTGTAAGGTATGACAGCACATACGTCTCGGCTAGTGGTTCTTAACCTTTTAAAACCCAAGACCCTCTAAGAAAATTCCAGCTCTGAGCTTTTGCTTGTTTTTTTTTGACTACACAAAAAAAATTCTAGAGCAGCACAGCAGGTCAGAATGCTTTTGACACTATGGATTCCTATTTGAAATGTCTGGGTTTATCTTCTGAATCATGTGCAGGTGCTTGTACACTTAACAGTGCTATTATTGGGCAACACCCTTAAAAGAATCTCATAGTATTACAGGTGCACCGATATATCAGTTATCTATTGGATTGGCACTGATACAAGGGGAAATGACATTATTGGCTATTGGCTTTTTTTGGCCATTGTAGCCAGTAATGTTTACCAATAATTATGCCTTCTGGCCAGGGCCCTGGACACCTGGGTTTCCTCTCCCCTGCAGGGCTGGGGCCCCCAGATACCTGGGTTCTCTCAGGAAATGGTGGGTTTCCCCTTGTAGGCAGGCAGAATTCTAGCCTGCAATTGGTCCTGCTGGGGCTGCCAGAAGCGAGATGCAAGGGGTGCCATGTGCATGTGCGCAGCTACATATGGCCAGGAATACAGCTGAGCAGCATGGAAAGCAGCTCTCTGCAGGTAAGTCTATGGAGGGGAAAGGGCATGGGGGAGGGAAGGAGTGTGGGAGAGGGGGCAGATCAAGGCCCCCCCAGTGAAGGAGGGAGTGGGGCAGTGGCAGTGCATGGGACCTGGGGTTGGGTTAGGGAGTGGGACAGAGCCACGGGTGGCTCATCCAGAGGGCATGATGGGGGTGGCTCCCTGCCACTGCACGCACCTGTCAGGGGAGGCATGGGGGACATGTGCCCTCCCCCAGATTTGTGCATGAGGTGGATGTGAGCTGCTTGCTGTGGGCTCGGGGCTGTCCGCTCTGCTGCCTTTTCCTTGGGAGCCTCGCACTAGCTGCACCCCCCTGCTCACCTGGCAGCACTGAGGCTGGTGAGTTGTGCCCCTTACTGCCGATTGGGCAGGGGGCATGCAGCCAGTGTGACAGTGGTCACAGTGTGGCTACCTGGGTAAAGACAGCAGGGTGGAGAGCCCTGAAGCCCACAGCACACATCTGCCCTTGCCCCACTTGGCTGTGCTCTGCTTAAAAGCAACCGTGTGCTGAGAGGCAGTGGTGGTGGTAGTGCTTGAACTGAAGCTCATTTGATGAGCTTTACTTCAGGTGCCCCCGCCATCATTCTTAAGTGCTGGGACAATGATGCATGTGATGCAGGAGGCTGCTGGAGTGTGCCAAAAAAAAAGATTTATTTTAATCAGTTATCAGATTGGCATTGGCCAATATGGTTGGTTAATAATAGACTATCGGTATCGGCCAAGAAAATCTTTATTGCTGCACTCCTATACAGCACCTTGAGGTGCTGCAGCAGCCTTGTTGAAAATCACTGATCTAAGTGTAGAACCAGGCAAGTCCATCTGTCTTGGAAGGCTGCATCATAAAAGTCAGATTAGTGGGGGTCTCTCTCACAAAGTGTGACATGCAGATTGTTGACATGGGTGTGCTATCCAGATGCAGTTGATCAAAGTAATTTTATAGAGCAGGGGTATCAAACAGATGGCTTGTGGAACCATTTTACCCACTCTGCAGGGCTTGCAGAGGGGCTGGGAATTTGGAGTTGAGGCTTGCCACTGAACTTCCAGCTACAGAGTCCTGATGGGCATGCATGTCAGCAGTGGGGGCGGAGGGAGAGGCAAGTGCTGGCTGTGTTAACTCCCACACTACTGCTTACCCTGCTGCTGGGTCCAGATCCAACCTGGGAGGCTTCTTGAAGTTTGGATCCAGCCCAGGGGCACAGGTGAGTGTGACATGCCTGGTAAGATGTTCATATTGGTTTCTGCTCACATCTAAGAGAGACAGGTTGGTAATAAGACTCTCACAACATTGACACCAGTTATATCAGCTCAGATGCCGTGCTGAAAGGAGCTCCAAAATATGTATTTAAATACATGTCTTTCTTTCCGAGTAGGAAAACAACCTGGATGACCAGCTGATGAACTTAGCTCTGCTGAGCTCCCCAGAGGACATGATAGAGGCAGCCTGCTATTATGAGGAGAAAGGGGAACAAATGGACAGAGCAGTCATGTTGTACCACAAGGTAACTATGACTGCAAAGAACGAAGTGTTACATGGAAAGTTGTCAAATCAGCTGAGTACTTTGAGTCTCAAGCTTTAAGCTAATTGTTCACTTCCCACCGTCATGTGCAAAAATGCCCATTAGCCTCTGTCCTGATTTGGCTGACTGCTCTTCCAGTCCTGGTCTGGCTCTGCCAGCTGCTACACTTAATATACTCATTAATCAGTACAAAACAGAGCTACTTTGTTCCCACTGGACTTGATGGAGATCATCCTAGTTCATTATTTCACTTGTGATCTCTTCCAACGATGTCTGAAGAAAATGAGGGTTGGAAGGGACCTCAGGTGGGCATCTAGTCCAACCCCCTGCTCAAAGCAGGACCAGTACCAACTATCCCATCACAGCCAAGGTTTTGTCTAGCTAGGTCTTAAAGATCTCCAAAGAGGGGCATTCCACAACCTCTCCGGGTAACCTGTTCCAGTGCTTTACTACTCTCCTAGTGAGAGTTTTTTTCTTAATATTTAACCTAAATTCCCACTGCTGCAACTTAAAACCATTGCTCCATGTTCGGACATCTGCCACCACTGAGAACAGTCTAGCTCCATCCTCTTTGGAACCACCCTTCAGGTATTTGAAGGCTGCTAGTAAATCTCCCGAGTCTTCTCTTTTCCAAACTAAATAAGCCCAGTTCCCTTGCCTGTCTTCAAAAGTTATGTGCTCCAGCTTCCTAACCATTTTCACTGCCCTCTGCTGGAATCTCTCCAATTTGTCTACATCCTTTTGGTAGTGGTGGGGGGGTCCTAAAACTGGACACAGTACTCCAGATGTGGCCTCACCAGTGCGGCAGACAGAGGAATAATCCTGTCCCTTGATCTGCTGGCAATGCTTCTACCAGTGCAGCCCAGTATGCTGTTAGCCTTCTTCACAAGGGCACACTGTTGGCTCATGTTCAGCTTTTTGTCCACTGCAACCCTCATGTTCTTTGCTGCAGAGTTGCTGCTTAGCCAATTAGTCCCCAGCCTATACCAGTGTATAGGATTGTTCTGTCCTAAGTGCAGGACTTTGCACTTGGCCTTACTGACCTTGAGATTTCTTTTGGTCCAATCTTCTAATTTGTCTAGGTTTCTTGGAATCTTAGCCCTACCCTTTAACATATCTACTACTCCCCCCAGTTTGGTGCCCCGGCTGCATGCCCTTTCCCCCACAACAGACTTACCAGCTGGACACCACTCTCCATGCTGTGGGGCTGAATATCAGAAGCAGATTGGTATTGGTCGATATGGCTCATTAAAAATCCGCCATCAGTATTGGCCCACAAATTTTCTATTGGCGCACCCCTATCGCAGATGAAGGATGATAATGATAAACTGCCTCCTATACTTTGTATTTGTCAACTGTAACAAGTCAACCACTCATATTACAAGAGAGTGGGTGGAATATGCCCTTTGTCGCTGTAGGAGACTTCCATCAAAGGTCATCAGTGCTTTTACATTTATTGTTAGAAGGACTTGCTACTCTGCAGTGCAAGACATACAGAGACTTACATTAGTCTCTAGCTTGCCAGGTGGGCCCACTTATTTACACAAAAAGGTATAGGAGCTGCCAAGCAATAGCAGCCATGGAGGGTTGTACATACAGAACCAATGGCAGCCTTGTACATCCAGAGGGTTGTAGTTTGTTCTTATGCACCCTGAGTCAGGTTCGCTGGCCTTAGTTAACTATTTCAAGACCTAGAGAAAGAGAATAGTCATTTTGGAAGAAGGTAAAGACTGCAGGCATCTTTATACAAGTGGTGGCTTATATAGCCAGAGCTCTTCTGCAGAAACTCAGTGATCAGGTGGCTTATGGAGCTTGTGTGGAAACCACTATGAGGGGGTGGAAAACGAAACATTTGTCCATGGTTTGTCTAGGCGGGACACTTCTCTAAAGCACTGGAGCTGGCCTTTGCCACACAGCAGTTTGGGGCCCTGCAGTTGATTGCTGAGGACTTGGATGAGAAAGCAGACCCTGCCCTGCTGGCACGCTGTTCCGACTTCTTCATTGAACATGGCCAATATGAAAAAGCTGTGGAGTTGCTGCTAGCAGCCAAAAAGGTAAAAGCCCCTACAGCATCCCCTCTTGGCCTCTTTTGTGTGACTATAGAAGAGCAGAGCTCAGCAGCAAGTCAGGCTGCATCTAGGACCCAAACCACACTGCAACAAAGACCAAAATGCAGAAAACACATCTGCTTTGAACCACTCAGAATTCCCTAAGGGTTTTGGCTTCACTTGTTATAGAGCTAGGGTACATCCAAATTTAATTCCACCCCTAGATTCAGTCACTTCAGAGCGGTTTTTAGGAGCCACTTTAATGTTAAGATGATACAGCCCAGGCTGTTGGAGCCCTAATCACTTGGGTCTTGCTGGCTTCAGATGTACCCACTCTCACTTTTAAGCTGCAAAAAGGCTTAAAAGTTGTAGGATGACTAGGGATTGAACCCAAACTGTAGCAAGCTGAACTTGATTTAATGCCCTTATGTACAGAACAATTAGCTAAAGCTTATTTCTCTCCCACTTTCATCTTAGTACCACGAAGCCCTGCAGCTTTGTCTGCAGCAGAACCTGACTATTACAGAGGAGATGGCAGAGAAGATGACCATCTCCAAGGATTCCAAGGAGCTCTCTGAGGAATCTAGGCGAGAGTTGTTGGAGCAGATTGCTGACTGCTGCATGCGGCAAGGCAATTACCATATGGCAGCCAAGAAATACACTCAAGCAGGAAACAAACTAAAGGTGAGTTTGGGTAGGGGAAGCTACAGGACCAGTGTTTGAACATCTTGGCTTTCATAAATGTGGAGTGACAAATCATATATACTTATAATCAGTAGGTAAGCGATTGCTTCAAGGAATTATTGTCAGAGATATAGTAAGTTGCTACTGTTAAAGAGACTGAGTTAGTTTAAATCTAGGCAGAAATAATCACATTTACAGGCCTTGTTTCCCTTTGTTTTCAGGATTCAGGCTTCCTCAGGGTCCTCCCCAGGTTCCACAGGATTGGCTTCCCACATGGGACCTTCTATTTCCCTTTTCCTTCTGTGAGATGGAACATATTTGCTCAGATGTCGTGCTCTAGGGCTACTGAAGATCTGATGAAAGGGAGTCCTTGCACTAGATTGTATAGTAGGGATTATAAGCATTGTGAGTCCATCTCGGTCTGGGCAGTGCTTCTTGTTTTTATATTGCTGATGATGACCCTCCTCACCTCTTTTTATAGGCTATGAGAGCACTGCTGAAGTCTGGAGACACAGAGAAGATAGTATTTTTTGCTGGAGTCTCCAGACAGAGAGAGATTTATATTATGGCAGCCAACTATTTACAGTCGTTGGATTGGCGTAAAGACCCAGAGATTATGAAGAATATCATTAGCTTCTATACCAAAGGAAGAGCCCTTGATCTCTTAGCTGGCTTTTATGATGCTTGTGCTCAGGTACATCCCCTTCTTACTCTTGGAGAAGTTTGATTTGTGATGTTCAGGAACAGGACACTTAACCTCCTTCCCAATTGGTCCTCTCCTTGCAGGTAGAGATCGATGAGTATCAGAACTATGAGAAAGCACAAGGAGCCCTGACTGAGGCATATAAATGCCTATCAAAGGCAAAGATTAGGAGCCCTGTTGAGCAGGAAAGCAAACTGGCACTTTTGCAAAGCAAAATGGCTCTAATCAAGCGATTCATCCAGGCTCGAAGGTAACCTTCAGTGCTCCAAGCATGGAAAATGGCATATAGAAATACTGCATTTGAAGAAAGCTTTCTACATTAGTAGCAATGTAGTTTAGTCCTGTGCAGACAACTCACCTCTTAAAGCAGTCATAAAACTTGGCCCCCTGGGGAGGGGAAGAATATGCAACTAATGAATAGCATGTTGACTTTTGAGTGATGGGCAAAGGTGACCTCAAAGTAAATGCAACTTTTGCATATTTAACCTTTTGGTTAAAGTAAGTTACCAAGACTGCCACCTTAATGAAGGGAGGCCATGGGGCAAGCGCTCATGTGCACAAACGCACACATCGAGGTTCCTAGTTGTATGCTAGCTGAGAGAGAAATGCAGTAAACAAAGGCCTGTGGTCTTCTCTGCACAAGTTCTTTATTGTTTCAACATGTTCTTTTGTTAGAGCTTACTCTGAAGATCCCAAGGAGGCAATCAGGCAGTGCGAACTTCTCCTAGATGAGCCAGACCTTGACAGTACCATTCGCTTAGGTGACGTCTTGGGATTTATAGTTGAACATTACTTGCAGGTGGAGGAATTCCAGATGGTAAGTTAATTTTAGAGCACCATCCACATTGTCGAAAGATAAAGGATTTTTCTGTCTTACAGGTCTACAATTTAAATTATTTGCCTCCTTAGAGAGTGCAGCTCACTATAGTACTTTCTCAGAACACAAACAGAGACACTCCATCATTGACAGCTGCTCTGAGTATTCATGTTAAACTTTACCCCCAAAAAGAGCTGAGCTATCACTATTAAACACCTTAACCTTGCCAGTGCTAATGCCTGTGCAGGGTGTGCAGAAGGAACAGCATGCCTAAATCCATTTTTCATCTCATGGCAGAAAGTTTGTTACAGGGCATGGAAAGGGAAATGCAATGATGGCTGCTGCATTACGTGCAACTGTTCCCCTTGATAGAAAGGCCTGGTCATATTTCTGTGCTATTACATGGTACCTCTTGCAGCCACCTGGACCAGAAAAAAAATGGAAAATCAAAGTTGAAGCCATCTGAGGAAGTGATGAATCATTTGTTCAGAGCAGGAAGTGCCAGACGGCACAGAGTTATAGACCTTGGACTAAAAGTAACCTGCTGTTCTAAAAGAGCCAGGTGCTGAACATCAGGCTTTCTAGCCATGCAGCTAACCTGTTCATACTGCAGTGCTTCAGATATCAGGGTAGAGGATACAAGGCTGCTAATGGGTGATCACAGTCCCTTTCTTAATTTTCAATGCCAATCCTAGCTTTTTAATAAAAAGAGAGAAGCAACCTCACATCCATACAATAGAAATCAACTGCTAGAAATGAAAGCTCATCAACAGTTTTCTAAAAGTTAGTGAATACCATGACCCCTCAAGGCAGTGGCCTCTGGCTGCTGGTCCCTTTGGGCATTGACAGATGTGAAACCCCCCCGCTCAAAACAGCACTTTACTGGAAGAGGCAGGGCGTTAGTTCTACCCAGCTCTGCAGCATCTATATAGATCAAGCGCTTCAGCAGGGCTTTTTGGAGCTTTTATCCAATAGCTGATTGAGTCCACTATTAGATAAAAGCCCCTAAAAGCCCCACTGAAGCACCCAATCGATACAGATGTTGGGCAAGCTGAATCCTGCTAACACAATGCCTTTTGTGAGCATGCACTGTTTGGTGTGGGGGTGTAGTAAGCTTAAAGTAAAGCAGTTCCCACCCCCCAAATCTGTAAGCACCCTTAGTTTTCATTTTATTTGTGGAGAGGGAGGGCAGGTATCTCCATTTGATGAATAGTACAATGAATAGTTTGAGTTACTAATTGTACTTGGGTGCTTTTTCTCCCCCGCTGTACTGTGATGGGCTGTCAAATAAAGACCCTGGTGCATGACACTACATAACTCAGTATATTACTTCTAGGCCTACAGATACTTGGAAGAGATGAGGAAAAGAATTCCATGTGTGAACCTGACCTATTATGTGAGTCAACGCACCATAGAGGCAGTTCACAGGGGGCTGGGCATCCCCTTGAGCCGCAACCCTGTCCCAGAGAGAATTCGTCACAATAGCATGGAAGACAACAAGGAGGTCGAAGAGGATGTGGCTGATGAAGTGGAGGATCCATGACAGCTCACTTTTCTAAATACTGGACTGGTTTATTCCAGAAGTTAACACTGCTGAGAGAAACAAGGCATAGTTCTTTGGCATAATACCCAGCTTCCTGATCAGTTCTCCCTAGGGGCAAGAAGGCCACCACTTTATTTCTAAAAAGCCTTGATGCAGTAGATTGTTTGGTTTATACCAAGCAGTTTAATTTTGTTATGCTTGAAAGTATAAGCAGAACTGTTCAAGTGATGAACTCCTTAAATACATGTGTAATGCAGAAGGGCTGACAGCTATTGTTAATCTTCTTTTAAAAGTTCCCAGATTTAGAGTGGTTATTTTTAATATGTTATTAAATTTTTAAGAAAAAAAATGAATGCGAGTGCAATTAAGGCACGAGGGGTGGGAGGATGAGAGCAGCAGGTACAGAACTAGTACTGTGCATTAGGACTTTCTACCCCAGCAGAGTGTAAAACCAGTTTTGTTACTGCAGTGAAACGTGCATCTCATCAAGACAGCTTACAAGCTTTGGTCTGTTAAAAATGCCAATTGTTAGGGAGAAGGGCAGTATGGTATTTCACTCCCTGGGGCAGGAAGGAAGACTCTTTCACCTCCTTCTGAAAGGTAACATGCACAACAGCTAGTGCCTGGGCCACGACTTGATCACTAAATCAAGACAAAATGCAAACCAACAGCCAGGACTCCATACCTGTAGCTCTTGCATTTTGTTACCACAGATAGCAGCTGGCTGCAACATACAATAAGGAACATGACCTAAGGCAGCCCTGTAGTTTTAGATAATCTGCAGAATTAAAGGAATTTGCGCGCACACACTTTTTTTTTTTAAAAAGAGAAAAAATCCCCACAAAGCCTGTTTCCTAACACAAGTTTAAACTCCTAATGGAGTTTAACAGCTAACATTTGATTAAGTAAAGTCCAGCTGCTCTGCCCTTGGTTTTACTTTGAAGGTGTTCCAAGAGCAACTTCAGGAATTAAGACTCCCTACCCTAGTGATTGAAAGCACAGAGATAACCAGCATGGGAGCAGCAAACACAGAAATGAAGTCAGTCTCTCCGCTCGCCTTCAAGACATCCTTATCTTAGTCCCTTTAAGGCTCTTACTGTGCCCAGATCTGTCAGAAACAGTTTACAGGTTTCCCTTGCTTTATGCTGTACATACATTCCTGGAAAACAGCACATAACTTGAATTCACATAAAGGCAACCCACTTTACAATGTAACAAATAGGGATATGTTCCAAGACCTGGACTGTACTGACCCTCAGACCCATTTCTACCACTTTTACAAGACAATTTTGGTACTCACCAACAGCAGACAGTACACACAAGCACAGGGCACTATCATAATGGGGATGACAACTCCAGAAACACGTATCACAGACAATAAGCAAGGAGCACAGATCAACGCAGGAGCAGGAGACTATATTTTGGTGCATGTCACTCCCACAGTGCACTGCACAAAGCAGCTGACTGCAGGCTTTCACCACACTGATTTCATACGAGTGAATTTACCTGGCATAACAAATTTTTGGTATAAAATGGGTCATGACAAGAATGAATTTGCACATGCAGAACCCTCATAAAGCAAGGGAAACCTGCATTTTCAGCAGCCACGTTAGCACATTTCATGCTAATTAGTCCTCCTGTATAGAGGAAGAACAGCTTTATTTCCTTTGTGAGATTTCACACACGTTGATCAGTTTGGAGAACACTAACAAATGACTTCTGTTTCAACCCCCCAAGCTGGGAGGAGCCTTTCAAAGCAGACACTCCAGCCTTCAGTGACCGAGGCAGTTTCTCTTTAATACGCTGCAGAATGCTGAGTTGACCCTGTCCTTGGCTCCCACAGCTTCTTACCATAATATGATTATTCACAAAGGAGAGAGGCCTGCTTCATCCCTTGTAAATAGAATGCCAGTCCAGTGGGTTCAGCTGGGCAGGGTGGGGTTTCTGCTCTGAGGTCTTGCACATTTTTTGGTAGGCAGGAGCTTACTGCGACTATTAACAACATACATCACGAACAATATCAGCCTCTGTAAAAAGCTACTACCATCCCATGGAGCTGCTTGATAACTGCTCTGCCAAAAAACTTATTACTGGGGGATACTAGATCCTGTGTTATGGACGTACCACAGACTTAGCCCTAGGAGCTAAATGGCTACATCTACTCCTCCTGTTTTTCTGAGGAGAAGACTGCTGTGAGGTCTTCTATATTTTTAGCAGAACACTCAAATCTGCCAAGGCTATAAATAGCTAATGCAGAGTATGTTGGAGATGGGGGGAGGTGCAGAGAGGATGGCAGCACTAATGTACCTTCCTGCATCTGTACACTCAGTACCGGATAGCAATAGCTCACTAAGTTGGCCTCTACTACAAAGTCCAGATGTCAAGCCAGGCTCACTGGCTCTCAGCTCTACACCCTTCCCCCCCACTCTTCCTCCCCTTCAGCCAGGTGACTGGTGAAGGGGCCCAGCAGTGCCTACAAACACCCAGCTGGCAAGAGTGTTAGGTAGAGGTCACTTCTGTTTTCAAGCCTTTTCCCTCTCAACCTAGGAAGGGGCAGTTTCAAGTTTCTTTTTCAGGTTCTCCATTAGCAGCAGATTCTGCAAGGCCAGCCTCCTGCAGTCGCCATCTGGATCCTTCTCTGCTACATCTGCAAGAGAGGAAAATCCCATAATTTATGAACTGGGAAGAAAAACTGCTCTTTGCAGAGCTTTTTTCTAGTGTCTCACTGAAGGTGTCAGTCCAACAGAATGGAAGAACAAAAGGAAACTGAAACATCTGAGCTAGAGCTTAACATTTCTTTCCTGCCTGTATATGGCCCAAAGACGCCCAATTCCTGGCTCTTCAGGACCTGCCTAGAGCCAAATGGCCTAGACTGGGGAATCTCAACCTTTTTAGACTCAAGACATCTCTTGGGAAAATGACAGCTCTTAGTTTTCACTTGATTTTTGACTACAGAAAAATAATAGAACAATTCTTCTGTTGCAAAGAACTCAGAAAGACCACAACAGGTCAGAATGTTTTTGACACTATGGATTCATATTTGAACTCTCTGGGCATGGCTTCTGAATCATGTTTGCACATCCAACAGTCTTGACTGTGTGGCAGTCTGCAGCACCCCTGAAACGATCTCAAGGCATCCCAGAGGGGCTGTGGCACCCTGACTGAGAATCACTGGTCTGAACCAAATGAAGGGTTTTACAGCGGCATATTCTTTCACACGCTCATTGATAGAACACTATAGTTCCAAGAAAACTGGCAGCTGGACATTAGGTAGGTGACACAGGGGTGCAACATTAACCATTAACCATTCCTGTCTATTACGGCAAATTGGAGACTTCAGCCCCTTCTCTATTCCAAGAGCCAAATCGCATTGTGAGATACATGCCAACAGGTCACAATGCTGCACATGTTCTTTCAGAGAGAGAATTTGGAGTTCATCTTTCTGCCTGTTAGCCTGTTCCCATGAACACTGTTTGTAGTTAGAAATCCAGTCATCTTAATAATGGCTTCAAATACACTCTTGGGATGGAGGCTCAGACTGAAAAAGCAATTCAACCCTGCTGATTCCTGGAAATTTAAATGAAGTAAACCTGGATGCCTGCAGCCCTTTTGTGAATGTTGGCAGCCAAGGGCCTGGGTTGTCGTCATTGGAAAGATCAGCTAGAAGAGCCAAGCAGGCTGTATGGGAAAAGGTTGTCTGTCAGTTCAAAGGAAAAGTCTCAAGAACTAGATCTATGATAACAGGTTTTAGGCATGAATTGCACAAGCTGAGAACAGCACCCCCACGGCTGATGCTGAGACACTGCTCAGAAATACTGGTGGAGCTCGGGAACCAGAGGTCTGGCCAACACAAAAGCTCAGGGGCAAAGGCAGCTTCCTAAACCTTGCATGCAATTTGGTTTGTACACTGTCCCTTGCACTTGCAAGCAAAGACAACATAACTGAATGCTCACAAGCACCAGCGCACTGGAACAAAGTGCAGCCCACTGCTAGGAAACTGGTGGCTGCTTCCCTCTGAAGGGACAGCCCTCTGAAAGGGTAAGTCTCAGAGCCCAAGCCACCATGGTTCCTTTGTGCAGAGCTGGTGCTACATGCAGCACATACAGGAGTGTTACGTAAATGCTCCAGCAACTGTTATTTCAGAGGCCTAATGGGCTTGGGATGTAAAGTTCAGGATGCACTCAGGATGAGAGCAGGGGGAGCCTGGAAGAGCAGAGAGTCTGTGTGAGGATATCCTGTACGCACAAGCAGTGTGCTCTGAGCCCAGCACTGTGTCAGCCTGAGCACATGACTCATTCAGATTGAGTAGAGCTATTTATAAACTTGGGGACAGCTTCATGATGGTGTTTCCACACCCTATGTAGGGAAGGGAAGAGAGAGGGAACCACCAACATGACAGTTACTACAGCCTCATTTTATTACCTCAGAGCCTGTACCATGCACCTAGAAAATAGTGCCATTGCGAGGGACGCTTGGAACTGTCATTAGTCCTGATATATGAAATTTTCTCCCTTCAAATAACTCTACTACTGCATCTGGGGTAAGAGGAGAATTCCCTCAACAGCATCTGCAGAGGAGCCAAAAAACATTGCTTCTTCTTGGGAAAATGAAGTAACAACATATAGGGTGGAGTCTCACATAATACCATGGGCATCGCACTTGACATGATGCCATTACAACTGTAGGTATAAGCTGAAGTCCTAAGAGCTAAGCTGTAGAACTCCCTTCTTTTGTAAAGGCCTCCAGAAATAAATTTGTCCAGCCCTAGTGTCAGCTGTCAGAATTTGGCCCCATCTGCCCTGTACAGTGGATCTGTGCTTTAGCTATCACAGCATTTGGTTTGGAACACAAATCCCAAAACAGTGGCTTTCCATTGCAGAAAAGCCATAGGCAGTAACAAGTCTGTTAGCACTAGAGGAGCCAACTTAAGTTGCACCACAGAGGGCACTGAATGTGCCTCATTAGCTCTTTGAAGGGGCTATTTTAAATATTAATGCAGAGGCCCACTAAACCCTGGCTGGCTGAACCGTGACAGCTTAAGACTAACCCCACCAGCTGGCAGTGACTATGAGTGGTGAGCAGAAGCTTTGCAAAGGATGGTTCAGGGAATGACAGGAACCCAGCATCTTTCTTGTAGTAAGCGGAGAATGGCTCATGGGAGGATGGGCACCTAGGGAGGCTTGGGAAAATGAGGAGAGACTTATTTAAAAGAAATGGTTCCAAGTTTCTGAAGCAGAGCTGGGTCCTGGGAGTCTGTCAGGAACCAGTAGAAAACAGGAGCCACTGGCACCATGCAGAAAGCTGTGAGCCAACACATTATCAGTGCTCCCATCATCACACATAAACCATCTCTCCCTACGTGGCTGGAGATGCATCTTCAGGCAAAAGGATGTGTTCCTACCCCCATTCTCCTTCCTTCCCAGGCAGACAGCTACAAACACCCCCTTCCTATCCAGCCCCATGGAAAGCCAGCTCTCAAAACGTCACCATGGCAAAGAAAACCCACAGAGTAGAATAGTAAAGGGCCCAATTTGAGCACATCAGCAGATTCAGCCTAGTCAGAAGCTCAATCTAGACAATGTCATTTTCTCCTGCCATTCCAGTGCATCTCCTCTCATGCAACACTGATACACACAACTATCATTGCATTGCACAGTCCATGAGAGCCCAGGAATGCTCACTCTGTGCTGCACACCACACTCCCTTCATGCAAGCTGGCTGAGTCATGCCTCTCTGTATTGAGAGGGAGAACAGCTGGCCTACAGAAACTGGGAAGAAGTGGCCAGGTCCTTCTGTTCCTATCCTCTAGCACCATGGGAAGTAGGAGAGGATGCTCACCCATCCTTTGTGTCCTCAGTGCACAAGATCACACAAATACTGCCAAATCAAGATTCATGCTGCTGTTTAACAAGACACTTGAAGCCTGCAAGCACCTTGGCATACATGCAGCTCTATGAAAAACTCCCTCCTGATAGAAGTGGGAAAGAGCTTGGGTACTGCTCCACTCTAATCTCCACAATGCAATTCTCTGATGGAAATATGGCCATAGGCTCCATGTGGTCCACGGTGTATACCAGGGGTTGGCAACCTTTTTGACCACAGTGCCAAAAACCTCAGCCTCCACCTAATACCTTGACTTGGTGGGCAAGAGGTGGGGGAGCTGTGAAGGGCCTGAGCTTCACTGCTGGCAGCAGCTGCATGCACACCTCTGGGCAGAAGGTGGGGGAGGGGCTGGGGTTATGCTGCCCTGGCCCATTCCCCACCCCCCATGCGCCACGAGGCGCACATGCAGCTGCTGCTGCCACAGTGCTGGGGCTGTGGAGCCCAGCACAGATATTTGCAGCCTGTCTGCCATCTGTTGCAACTGCTCAGAGCCTGCAGTGGCTGTAGCGGGCAGTCAGGAGGCTGCGGACAGCTACACCAGGCTCCACAGCCCCGGCACTGGTTCTGTGGGAGCGGTGCATACGCCTCCGGACACCCAGCTGGGAAGGGGCCTCGGGCAGTACAACCCTGGCCCCTCTCCCATCCAGAGATGTGCATGCAGATGCTGCCACCATAGAGCCCGATGCTGGGGCTGTGGAGCCCTGTGCAGCTGTTTGCAGCCTACCAGCTGCAGCTGGCCTGGGCTCTAGGCAGCAGGGCTTGCAGTCTTTTGGCTGCCTTCTGTAAGCAGCCTGGGTTCTGTGGCAACTACCTAGAGCCTGAGCTGGCTGTGGCATGCAAAGGAAAATGGCCTTAAGTGCCATGCTGTGGCATGTGCTAGGGGTTGCCGATCCCTGGCTTAGAGGCACCTAAAGTGTAGTACACCATCCCCTGCAGCAGAGGGCATGCTGGCTTCAGTCCTAGCCCCTCCTTACATATGATAAATGCATTTGCAACTTGGGAGTCTAATAAATAGCACAAAGAAACCACCTAAACATTCCTTTTCACCCTTCCTGGCCAAGGGATCTTGCACCGTTCCCAGCACTGACAGGCAGGGTGGGGCACACCACTCCTCTTACCAGCAAGCCAAGCCTGGGTTTCCACAAGCTCTTCAGTCACATCCTCCAGAAGGCGATCACTGGGGACACTGAGAAGCGTGGAAGAGATACAGGACAGGAGGCCCTGACGCACATACCTGGTGGAGAAGGCACCCAAAAGAGCTGGGGTCAGTTCCAAACCCAAGAGTCCATGGACTAGCAAAAGCTCAAATGTCTGTAGCAGCCTGGAGTGTGTGCAGGAGATAAGAGGCAGGGGAAAGCATTTGCAGTAGAAAGGCTACCTGATTTACTTGATTCTTCAGGTAAGATTTTTAAAAACTAGATAACTGGGTTCTCAGCTCCCTCAAGAAAAGCAGCTGGAAAAAAATCTATAGGGGGGGAGAGAGCGATATGGATAACAACTCAAATATTGTTTGAGATTTTTGCTTGGTTCCACACATGTAATGCCACTAGCTCTGGGCAGAGAAGACCCATGAGAAGTTTCAGACCAAAAGATGAGTTTGGTTACAAGATACTAGGTGTCAGGTGGCAGAAGCCTTCAGTGACAGCATCCCCTCAGCTTCATCCAAACCTGTCACAGCTTCTGTGAAGTCCCAATGACAGCCCTCCCTCCTGGTTTCTTTTGAGTGTGCAAGACACTATGTAGGCTTTCTTCTAGTGCTGAGAGGGGGCTGCAGAGGGGAGCAGAGAAAACAGGACACTGGGCATGCCTACATGTGCACTAATGTGCATTAGCTTATTTTAATGTGCACTAAAGTATCACTAAAACAACTTTGTTCTTTAGTTAATGTGCATTAAGACAGGCTAATGTGCATTCTCCTAGTACCTCACAATGGAGGCACTAGATTTAATGTGCATTAACCAAAGCATGCGTAGATGCGCCACTGTGTTCAATCATCCTTGTGCTCTTAGGCAAGCAGGGAGCATGCCACAAAGCCCTGCAATCGCACGTTCACAGGGTGAAAACATAACTTACGAGTCTGTGTGGAAGCGCAGAGCCCAAACAAACTCCAGCAGTGCCTTTCCCATAGCAGCAGCTACCTGAAAAACAGGATTGAAGGGAACAGCCTGAATAGTCAGTTTCTCACTCACATCAACCCAAAAGGGACAGTGACTTATCTGTGGATGAGGCCACATGTAACAAGAATAGAAGTCACTCAGATTGGTTTCCCCACAAGCCAATGCCCTTATAATGTGCATAAACAGTGGTTTCTATCTTTAAAGTCTTATGGGTCAATCTCATTTAAATCCCCTTCCTGAGAAGCAGGAAAGTCACCATTAACTCATTTTGCAAGTGAGGAAATTAAGGCAGGAAAACAAAATGACTTGCCCAAGATCACACACAAAGGCAGTGTCAGAGCCAGGAGTTCCTGGCTCTTAAGCTTCCTCTGAACACCCCCCGCACTCCCTCTCCACTCTTTGCGGCATAGGAGCCATGATCAGATCACTCCCAGCCCAGTGAAGTAAGTTCTAGGCTCTGATGCACCCTGTTATATCAGAGGCTACCTCAGAGCTGCAGGGCTGGATTAACTCTTTGCTACCTGCAAGATCAGTATAATGAGCTCCTCCTTTCTTACCACGGTATTGACAGCAAAGTACAAAAGGATCGCCAAAGTGTGGGCCAGCCTTCCCAGCACAAAGTGGTCATCTCCCAGTAGGTCAAAGGTTACCAAAGGCCTATTATACAAGAGACACAGTTGGGTCAGTGAGTTTTCCTCATGCATCTTCAGAACTGTCAAGAGTACAGATGGAGACAGCCAGGGAAATGTTGTGCCCCTACAGGGTCACTGGTAGTCTCAGCCTTTGAGACTACAGCCACCAACATAAACACAGACTGAGGGACCTGAACCTGTTCAGCCTCAGCGAGAGGAGGCTGAGGGGGGACCTAGTGGCTGCCTACAAGCTCATCAGGGGAGATCAACAGCTAATAGGCAGAGCTCTTTTCTCCCCAGCACCATCTGGGGTGACGAGGAACAATGGTAATAAACTGACAGAGAATAGGTTTAGGTTGGAGATCAGAAGGCAATATTTTACAGTTAGGGTGGCCAAAATCTGGAACCAACTTCCCAGGGAGGTGGCCCTCACCCCTACCTTGGGCATATTCAAGAGGAGGTTGGACGATCGCCTGTCTGGGGTCTTGTGAACCCAGCCTTCATTCCTGCCTATGGCAGGGGGTCAGGCTAGATGATCTGTTCAGGTCCCTCCTGACCCTAGCTACTATGAAACTATGAAACAGAGATTGCCTGACCCAACCAGAGCTGCTAGGCCCTGTGCTCTTACCCCAGACTGAGCCAAGAGCAGCACTACGCAGCTTCGGAGCATGGGCCCCACTTACTCTGCCTACAGAGTACAACTGATTAGGAAGAATGCATATAAAGGACCAGATCAGATTCAGTTTTCTTGTTATAAACAACCAGAACTGAAACTTGCATTAATAGGCCTATTGTGGATCTTCCTAGGCAGGTAAGAACTTATCTGACATTGAATCATACCCTCCAAAGGGCAGGAAAGTCTTCCAGAAACACTGTGGCCAGGAGCACTAATTACTGAGCTGGCATGTGAAGTGACTGTCTGCCTGGGCCTCCTAGTGGCTGCATTGAGAAATGACTGTTCTTATCTACCAGAAGCAGAGCTTTGCGATCCTCCATGCTCCACTTCTTGTCCAGCCACACAGGCTACCTCAAGTGGGCTTCTCCATTTTAACCTGACTGCATGCACCTCCAGACAGCTCATTTGAATACTGCCTATTCAACTGGAAGATTGGATCCAAATAGTGCCTTTTACAGAGGACCCCAAAGTATACAGTGTAGAAGACCAGGGCTGTCCACCTGGCAGCCTGCGAGGGGTTAAATTCCATGGTCCTCATCCATGCGGGAACAAATGATGCACCTGGAGTAGTCCGGGCAGGGTCATGAGTGACCACATGGAGCTGGGAACCAGGCTCAGAGGTTCAGGAGCACAGGTGGTCTTCTCATCCATTCTACCAGACAGAGGTTGAGGACAGCACCACAGCAACTGTGCTAGAGAAGCCAACTCGCAGCTTTCGAGCTGGTGTCACCGCACGGGATTTGGGTTCCTTGATCACAAACTGCACTTCCAGGATATGGCCTTGTTCAGGTGAGACGGACTACATCTTTCTCCAAGAGGTAAAGAGTCTCTTCTCTTACAGGTTGGCTGATATCCTTTGCAGGGCTTTAAACTAGGTTTATCAGGGGATGATGACAACAGGGAGAGGCCAGGTATGACAAACCATGAGCCATGCACTGGAGCAGTCCAGGTAAGTAATAAGGGCCCTGCTAGGCAACAGAATGGGAGATTAGCAAGGGCACCTATCGCGGGGTGGGGGCGGCCTTAGATGCCTCTATACCAATGCTAGGAGCATGGGGAACAAGTAGGAGGAACTTGCACTCCTGCTTGCAAATAAAGAATTTGACCTGGTAGGGCAAACAGAAACCTGGTGGGATCCTACCCATGACTGGGCAGTGGGCATTGAGGTCTACAGGCTGTACAGACAGGACAGAGTGGGGAAAAAAAGTGGGGGGAGTTGCTCTCTATGTTAAGGAACAATATACATCTTCCGTAGTCAAACTGGGACAAGAAGGGCAAATTGAGGTATTATGGGTCAGATTACAGGGGGGTCAGGGAGAAAGAGACCTAGTAGTAGGGGTCTATTACAGACCCCCACACCAGGGGGATGAGTTAGACCTAGAATTCTTGAGGCAGCGCGCTCAAAGGACCTGGTTGTCACGGGGGATTTAAACTTCCCAGACATCTGCTGGGAGAAGCAGGCAGCGAGGTCTGCCTGTTCATGTAAATGTTTAACCTCCTTACAAGACCTTCGCCTATCACAGGGGGTATGCGTCCCCACTAGGGTTAATGCCTTGCTAGACTTGGTACTGGCCACAGGGGATAACTTGCTGGGGGGATATGCAGGTACAAGGTAACCTAGGAGATACTGACCACCTATTGATAGAGTTCATTATCTGGCGAAAGGTGGGGAAGGTAACTAGTAGGGCAGAAGTGCTGGACTTCAGGAAGGCCAACTTTGGTAAACTCAGGAAATTAGTTAGGGAGGGACTGACTGGTAATAGCCTCGCAGAGATGGGAGTCCAGGAAGGGTGGGCGTTTTTCAAGGGACTAATCCTGCAGGCACAAAAAAAGACTATCCTGGTCCACATAACAGGAGGCAAAAAAGCAAAGAAACCCTCTTGGCTGAGCAGGGAAATCCAGGAGAGTCGGGTGAGGAAAAAAGAGGCCTATAGACTGTGAAAGCAGGGGGCAGTCATCAAGGAGGAGTTCACCTGCTTGGCTCGAGCCTGCAGGGAAACAGTAAGGAGAGCCAAAGCGGAGATGGAGCTTAGGCTGGCAACAAAAGTCAAGAATAACAAAAAGTTATTTTTTAAGTACATAGACAGCAAAAAGCAAGTACAGGGTAACTTAGGACCACTTCAGGATGAACAAGGACAACTGATAACAGATAGGATGGCTAAAGCAGAGATTCTAAATGAATTCTTTGCATCCGTGTTCCTGGACACGAATACGCATCCCATGAGGACTTTAGACAAGCCCAGGATACATACCAACCCACCAGCGGTTCATGCAGACCTAGTAAGGGGGCATCTGGAAGGGCTGAATGTATTTAAGTCAACAGGCCCTGATGATCTTCACCCTAGGGTACTTAGGGAATTAGCTGGAGTCATAGCGGACCTGCTGGCACAACCGTTTGAGCACTTACGGTGCTCAGGACAAGTCCCAGAGGATTGGAAAAGGGACAGTATGGTCCCTATTTTGAAGAAGGGGAGGAAGGAGGAACTAGGTAACTATAGACCGGTTAGCCTCACCTCTATTCTTGGCAAGACCTTTGAGAAAATAGTTCAAGAACACATTTGCGGAAGACCTGCAGGTAAAGTAATGCTAAGGGGCAATCAGCATGGGTTTATAGCAGGCAGATCCTGGCTGACCGACTGAGTTTCATTTTACAACCGGGTCACAAAACGCTTGGATGAGGGAACAGAGGTAGAGATGTTGTTTACCTAGACTTTAAAAAGGCCTTTGACACAGTGTCACACCCAATTCTTATAAATAAACTAAAAAACTGCAGTGTAAATTATTACACAGTCCGGTGGGTGAAAAATTGGCTTATGGGACGCACTCAGAGTGGTGGTAGACGGGTTGGTTTCTACCTGGAGAAATGTAGGCAGCAGAGTCCCCCAAGGCTCTGTCCTGGGACCAGTACTATTCAATATTTTCCATTAGTGACTTGGATGAGGGAGTAGTAAGCACCCTGTCCAAGTTTGCTGACGACACAAAGCTATGGGGGGAGGTAAACACACTAGAGGGCAGGGAGCAAACCCAAGCAGATTTGGACAGGTTGGGGAGGTGGGCGGAACAGAATAAGGATAATAAGGATAAGTGTCATGTGTTGCACCTGGGGAGGAAGAATCATCAGCACTCCTGTAGTCTGGGAGGGACCATTCTAAGCAGCGCAACTGAGGAAAGGGACCTCAGAGTCATAATCGACTCCAAAATGAACACGAGTCACCAATGTGATGAGGCAATAAGTAAAGTTAACTGCACTCTTTCTTGCATAAGTAGGTACATCACAAACAGGTCTAGGGAGGTGATACTCCCTGCTACACAGCTTTGGTCAGGCCACAGCTGGAGTACTACATCCAGTTTTGGTCACTGAACTTCAAGAGGGATGTGGATAACCTGGAAAGGGTTCAGAGAAGGGCTACCCGTCTGGTTAAAGGCCTACAGAAAAAACCCTATGTGGACTGATTGGGAGACCTGAACCTCTTTAGCCTCCAGAAGAGGAGGCTGGCAGGGGGGTTTGTGGGCGGCCCCAAACTCAC